GTAACAGGGAAACTGGTTGGAACCTCAGGAAGAACAAGTGAGGAGGGATCCCTCTCCTGGGCTGGACAGACATGCAACAGATGTCGTGTACAGAACAGATCAACATAATGAATGTACAGTGGTCCGTATGACACACAGACGTCCATTCTGTGATAACAGAAACTGGAAGCTTCCTGCTGACTGTAAGAAGCCGAGGAGCCGAACATGCTGCTGAATGTTTTGGCTTTACATTCTCACGAAAGAGAAAGAGCAGATTTTACATCCTGCTGCTGAACTGTTTAACAGACAAACAGAAAATGTAACTTTGCTGACAGTTTTCAGGCCTGAGCAACTTATTCATAATCCTAAGAACCCGTCTGTTCATTGTGTCCACACGACAAAGAACCAGGAACGATCGTAGCTTTTAAAACACAAACTTTTTTAGCTCCTGTTTCATAGTTTCTCTTCCAGCACAAGAGAATTCTTGAGTGACATACGTTTATGCCAACCGGTTGAACACATGAGCCAGTGCAGCACCGACAGCCGGCATTTTTAAAAAACTGTTAGCTATGTAAACAACAAACACAGAACAAAACAACAGCTTGTAACAAAAAAAATGGAAGAAAACACAGACAAATGGACCGAGAGTGAAGTCCAGGCTTTACTGAGCGTGTATGTGATAGGGAAGTGAAACGAGCTTCAGACCAAAGGGAAAGTGATGGTGCTGGAGCAGCTGCAGGCTGGCTTTTGTCACTGCAGCGTTTCTGTTGCTGGTTTGAATGCAAACAGAACAAATGCCCTTCAAGGTATGTCGTTGTTGTTGGAGTGAGCAGGCCCCAGGATTTTGGGACCAAACAGTTCAGATGACTCCCTGAGAGCACCTACAGGAGCTAAAGAAAAGTCTCACAGAAGAACAAATGATTGTTCCTAGTTCTCGCAGTGTGGACACAGTGTCAGCTGTTTCTACTGTTAATATTACTGCCACCACTTCTACAAGTGTCACTATTACTCTTTCAGTCAGACAACTCACGTTCAAATGTTTATTTCAACAGCAGAACATAGTTAGAGTTCAGCATCTAGACTCCGGCCTCATCACTTCCCACAGATAAGTTTACATGAGATTTTGGGAAGTGATGATTAAATCTTTTCCCCCTAGCTGGAGCCTGCAGGTGGATGCTCGGGTGGAGTTGGGGGTGAAAGAGCGAGCGGCAGTACTGATGCAGGGCAGCAGCAGCATAGACAATGCAAACGGAGAGCTGGGAAGATTTTTCAGCTTAAATAGACAGCCACATTTGGAGGGTGTGTTTGTAGATGACACGTGGAGAGTGACGTATGACGTGTATGTGTGTGTATGAATCAGTGCAGCTGGAGTTGACTGCCTGAACGAGCTCACAGGCATCGCTCCATTAGTGATAATATAAAACCTTTTTAAAGTTTTACATATTTTGGTAGTTTTGGGGCTGTTTGGTCAGTAATGAATACATAAATGAATAAACAAATAAAGGGGGAAGAAAGTATATTAAAACTAATTCTACCTTTACCCTGTTACTACCAGTACTAATAATTAAATAATGATTAATGAAGTGAGGGGGAGTTTGAAGTTTGGTGCCCCTCTGACCACGCCCACTCACTGATTGTGGGTACATTTCTACATCAATGCTGACACTGTCAAATAGTTTTGTTTTGGTTTTATTTCGCTGCTTCCATCCAGTGTTACCACTACTATGAAACTAACAACGTCTACCTTCTTTGTGCCAGTCTCTGTGCAGCTATATCAACTCTTTTAAAACAAAGACGTGCACCTTTCTCCACACTACAACAACTGCTCTTATTTCCACTCTAACTGTGTCGACCATTGACACATCACAGTCATTCCACACTGTGTATTCACACCGTTATCTTCATTAAGTAAAGTGTTTTTTAAGTGTGATGTGGTGCAGAGTATTGAGCCTAAACCTCAGGACGGTCTAAAACTGATAACCCGACCAGCTTGACAAATATAGACCCGACCACGACGGAGAGAAACACAGATACACACCACAGCTCTGACCAGGCGGTACTACGCCTACTATTTACAGAGAGAGACGGAGAGAGGGAGGAATGTGCGAGAGGTCAGCGGTAAGAGACGCTCTGTGTGTGTGTGTGTGTGTGTGTGATTTTGTTTCAGAGTAAGTCGCTCCAGAGGTGGGCTATTTCCTTACCTGATGTTGATGTAAGACTGAGGTTAAAACACACACACACACACACACACACACACACATTCCCCGTGAAATTGTAAGACAGCGTTACAAAAAAAAACGACTTAGAAAAACACCTGCCCAATTAAGAGCGAGGCATATCCCATTTCAAACAACTGTGTGTGTGTGTGTGTGTGTGTGTGTGTGTGTGTGTGTGTGTGTGTGTGAAGCCACAGGCTGTGCTCTCACCAAAGAGAACAAGATTGGCTTTAGAAAAGGCCAGAATAAATATTAGAGAGGGCTTAGGGTAATCTGCACACACACTCACACACACACACACACACACACACACACACACACACACACAGACGTAGACGCAGTGGGGGAGATGGAGACACACACACATTCTCAGACACCTTAAGGTAGACATGATGGCAGACACACACATGCACACTGTGTCTCATACACACACACAAACACACACACACAACACAAAGGCACGATGTGTGCCGCACATGTTAAATGAAAGTACCGTGAAACTGGACACAATCCTGCGGGAGGAGAGGAAATTAGGAGACAGGGAGGGATGAAAGGAGGAGGGAAGGAAGGAAAGATAGATAGAGGAAAATGTGGGAAAGAGGAGGTGAGGTGGACGGACAGGGAAGGAAAAGGGGAAGGTGGAAGAGGAGGACACAGAGAGGGAAAGTAAGCAAGAGGAAAAGGATGGAGAGGGAGGAGAGGAGCAGACGCAGACAGGAAGGAGAAGAAAAAGAGGGAGAGGAGACAGAAGGGAGGAGAGGAATGAGGAAAGGGGGATGAGGAGGAGACAGAGAGGTGGGACGGAGGAGAGACAAGGCGTCCAATTCATCGGCCTCAGGAGCTCTCTAAATCCAGACTGATCCTGGGGATTCGAGCAGGGATTTCATCACACGCACTCACGCACTCACACACTCACACACACACACACACACTCTACACTTCTGCACTTGTATACTATGCAGCATTTCTCCTCTAAAACACAAACTCATCTTAGATAATCTGGTAAAATCTTGCTGTTTTTCTTTCATGTATCGTCTCAGAGTTGTGATGAATTTCCATATTAAAGACACTCTCATATAATTATTATTATCTCACCTAAACTTTGTGTATATTTTGCTGTAAATGACAGAGCACAAACAGAGTGAGAAGATATTCATCTAGTTTCATGAATTTTTAAATGATGAGGATGAAACTGGAACGATGCTGTTAAAACCAGTTTCATCTTGAACTCTGTCACCTGATATCTGCAGTAAGGAAAATGATTTCATCACAACTTTATTTTCCATCATAGTGAAACATTGTCTGAGTACACCCTCACATTATCCAACATTAAGACACAGAACATTTAAAACAACAACATATGAAAAACATGAAAGTGTTATTAAGTCATAGAGTGATCTCTACCAGTAGAATCTATTGATAAAGGTTTTAGCAAAAAATAAATGTAACTTCAGTCATTACTGTCACTGCAGTACAGATGACTCATCCATCAATTACAGTATGACAGAAAATGTAATTTAATCTTTCATTGTATAATGTGTCAAGTAAATAAAGTAATAATAATAATTATAGTACGTCAAGTAAACGTTGCATCCAGACCTGCTTGCATGTTGTCGTACGTAGGATCAAGGACATGTGGTGACACTTTAACTTGAAATCAGTCTGAAAGTCGAATGAAGCGCAGCAAACATTTGACATTTCATGTGGCGTGTCTCATACAGACAGGAAGTGGAAAAAATGCTGCTTTACTTACGTATAAAAAGGCTGTGAAACAAGACAGTGACGTCAAAGAGGACAGTCACATTTTAGGACGCAAGTGGTGTGTGGATTTATAGTATGAGTGCTAGTTTTTATGCCTCTGCACCGGCGTCCGTCCGTCTGTGCGTCCCATCATTATATCTCAAAAACACCTCAGGGGAATTTCTTCAAATTTGGACTAAATGATGAACTAATTTGTCACTGGCTGAATCTGAGTTGTTTGACAGTGTGTGCAGATGAGCAGTGTTTGGTTCCCCCCATTGCCACCAGTCTCCAGAGCTGACAAAAGTCTGCGGGACTCCTGTCACACACACTGCTCACATTGCGATGACAGAGCTGGCTGAAAATCAGCAACGTTTTCCTAAACTAAACATATCACCATTTTCCTAACGGCTGTAGCTGTCATATTTCTCAGAGACGGACCTTGAGTGGCTGGACTGGATCAGCTAAATTTTTAGCTTTGTAGTTTGTGAGCAGCAGGGGGTGAGACAGAGGGACCGCGGGGTACATCCATTAGTGCACAACCTAGTTAGCAGCAATCTCTCGTAACCGTGCTGGCAGCCAATTATTAGGCCTTGATGTGACAGTCTACTTATGTTGTGCAGAAGTGGGCGTGGTTTCATCTAAAGTGGGTTAGAGAAATTCTGTCAGGCGTGCACATGGTTCAGTTAATGCTGCATTTGATGTCTGCATAGCCGAGTGTGTCCATGTGTTAAGTCCATGTGGCCATTCAGGGCTGCGCACTGGTGTAGTCAGATAATCATCACGGTAAATGTTCTGACTCTGCAAATCCACAAAGTATAATGTGAGTGTCACAGTTCACACAAAACTACAGAGCAAGAACTACAAGCTTTTTAGTTCAAATTTCAGAACTGTCACTTGTCATGAAGTCTCTGAGCCAGTCGATTAAACTCTTCCTCCGTCAGTGCTCAGTGACCAGCTGTAAAATGATGTCATCACACTGAGAACCTCTCAGTGAAAATACATAAATCTAAGTACATATTCAGATGTTTCTTATACAGTGTGTTTCCTCCACCTGTCACTTAGGAGGTGTTGAGCCCATCGCAGAGGTGGCTGGTGACGGAGAGGAGCTGGAACTTCCACCCGAGACGACCAAGTTCATCAAGAAGAAACAGCCGTCTAAGAAAGTCAAGAAAGGTAGGAGCACAGCCTCCTCCATCACCTTCTCCTCCCTGCTTTACTGTCATCTCTTCTCCTTCCTCTCTGTGTCTTTATTTGGAGCTGAATATTCTCCGGCTCCAGCTCATCAGAGCCTTCTGCTTCACCTTGTCACATTTCCAACCGACCTGTGTCAGAATCCATCACTGCGGCAGTACATCCGCAGCATTGCTCCCAGCTTGTCACTAAATCCTGAGCAGAGCCCTGACACTGATATCTGTTCACTGTCTGTCACACTGTTTCTAATCCACCTCTATTTTCCCTCCCGGCACAACACGCTGTCTCATCTGTTATGTGTACATACCTCTGTGACTGCTGCTGGCTCATGGGCCGCACAATCAGCGTGGTTTGGATTCTGGTCGGTGTCAACAGATGAAATCAAAAGACACATTTGGTTGTGCAGATGCAGAGTGGATGTTCACAGTGTTTCTGAATGTTTAGCTTTGTTGTGTTTATTCCACCTGATGATCCTGCTCTGTGTTTCTGATGTTCTGACTTCTGCTGTACGGTCTCGCTTTGATGGCCATCATTAAATCCCAGCTGACCTCACCATCAACAGATGGTACGAACTCAGAATGTCCCCACGTTACTGATCCTCTGAGATAATTTCTGTCAACAACCTGTGGACCTGTGGAGAGTCTGTGGACTCTCAGATGTCTGTGAAGGTGGGGTGTGAGTCCTATTTTTTTTTTTAAAAAAAGGGGACATCAGAAAATTATCACAGATTATTGTCCTCAGCCTCCTCAGGAAGGTGCAAGATGCACCCACATATAGTTTTATCCCCTTCTCTTGACCTGTGATGGCAGCATCCTTATTATGAAACACCTGCTCTTCACCCTAAAACACGAGAGCCGTTGTGAATGTTTCCCCTCCCACTCTGCATGTGTTTTGTTGCCCAGGAGAAGACTCGGATCAGAAGCACAATCATAAACACTTTATTGATCCCTGGAGGAAAATTGTGACACGTTAAAGTCACTCTGATGTAAAGCGTAAAGAACTATAGAGGTAAAAATAAGAAGTACAAAGTAGGAAGTATGTGAAAATATAAAAATAAACTGTGTATTATGTTACAGTGCAAACACTAGTGTGTAAAATATTCAGAAATATAAAATATGTTCCTTATGCTACAGTGTACAAGACAATATATCCATAAGTAGAAATAGAAATAAGATATATATATACAACATATGTTTAACATACATTCAAGAGCAGCGTTGGTGAAAATAAATTAGGATGTTGAAGAATATTGCACAGTTGATTAATTATTATTTTTCTAACTGTGTGCCTTATAGTGTTGCAAAATTAATTTTTTATCATCATGCCATAAACACATTGTAAAAGGCTCCAGTATTCCAGTTTTAATTTGGCAATAACGAATTAAACTCTATCTGTAGGCACAATTTTGTCGGATACACGGCAGGCTGTTAATTCTCTGGCCAATCAGGCAGAACCGTCACTGATAAGCATTGTCTGATTGGTCAGAATCTGTCTGTTAAGTTTATTCACCCAGTGCTGCCGTATTACTCTGCATGGCTGAAGGACAAAAGTGTGGCAAGATGAGTGAGCACAGACGAAAGTGTGAATGCCAGAGAGAAACTGGTGCTTAAAAAATGGCGTGTAAGCTGTTTGCTGATATTTGGGATGACGGAGAGATGATGTGGTGAAAGCACTGATACTGTCGAGTCTGAGACATGAACTGAGTTCACTCTAATATCTGTTTATTCATGGCAGGTAATATTGTTATTGAGATGTTCAACAATGTTTTCACATAGTTTCCTCATATCATGCAGCAGTAGTGCCAACACCAGAGTGAAATACTGCAGTGATGTAGGATGCCAGGGTTGATCGTAGGGGCCAGCCTGTTGGCAGTGTCTGTATCAGTCAGTCTGTTCCTGATCTGTTGGCTTTAATAAAGTAAGATTATAAATGTGGACTCACCCTCAGAGACAGAGTGAGCAGCTCAGACATCTGGAAGGATCTCGGAAAGTATCCACATCTCGTTTGCACTGAGAGTTGATGTGGTTTGGCCGTCTGGTAAAGATGCCTTCTGGGCATTTTGCTCTTGAGGTATTCTGGGAGTGTCCAGCTGGGAGGATACCCAGAAAACCCTGGAGAGATAACATAGATTACCCCCAGGAGGAGCTGAAGAATGTGGCCAGAGTTAAACACATCTGGGCTACTTTGTTTATCCTCCTGTTCTATAAGCAGGTGAGCGATGATAGAAATGGACGTTTAGTTACAGAGATGATGTCGAGCTTCCAACAACCACCTTGACTTTGTTGTGTTTATAGAATGGAGTTTGAATCATTGAATCATCAATCTCAGTAAAGTGATGTTGTCACAGCGTTCTTTCTATAGACTGTGTCTTCGGGCAAGAGCTGCGAGTGTGTCCGGCGTTGCTGGTCTACTGTTGCCAGGTCTACACTCACTGTTGTTCTGTTTGGAGAGTTGGAGCACGCTCTCATCCTCTCCTCAGTGTCTGCTGTCTCTCCTTCTCACTCTCTCATCTCGTCATGTCTTCATCCATCTGGTTCCGCTCTCAGTCCGTCCCTCTTTCTGTCTGTGTGACGGAGACGCAGCACATCGGAGGAGGAGGAGGAGGAGGAGGAGGAGGAGGAGGAGGAGGAGGAGTTATCTGTTTTTTTATCCTGTTTATTGTTATAATCAAGCTCATCAAGTACACAACACCTCAATGTCTTTCTCTCTTTGCTTGTTTCTGTTGTCCACTTCAGTTACTAACCTGATTAGTTTCATCTGAGATCCAGTAACACACACACACACACACACACACACACACACACATAGACACACATACACACACACTGCTTACAACAATATCCGAATGGCCTGGACACACACTCAACAATCCCATATTGTTTCCTGGCTCCTGTCTCAGACACACACACACAGACACACACACACACACACACACACACACACACACACACACACACACTCCTGCCAGAAGGGCTTCTGGTTTGCATTGAGGACAAATCCGTGTTTTATGACAGTTTGTCTTTCCTAAACCGGGGCAGATAGATTCCCTTTGATGGGCTTTACTTTCGTTAGTGTGTGTGTGTGTGTGTGTGTGTGTGTGTGTGTGAGTGTGTGTGTGTGTGTGTGTGTATATACTTGTGGTTAATCCACTCAGGCGTCGCCACTAATGAGAAGGGGAGGTGTGGGAGACACAGAGAGGGCGACACAGGGATCATTAAACCATATACACATACACATTCATACACACACATGCATGCACACACAGACGCACACACACACACATGCATGCACACACAGACGCACACACACACACACATGCACGCTGCCCCAGCAACTGTGTCAGATGAAGGCTATCAGTGTGTATTTTCTGAGCTCAGAACCACACACAGGAAAATCAAACCAACAACAAGCAACTTTGACGACTTTTATATGTAAATGGACAAAATCAGTCGCAGTCTGTACTCTGTGTGTTAAAGGGGGAACGTGACGCTGTTATTACGTCTCACAGCTCTTTATGAAAGGTACAGTTATGAAATGAGGGGACAGAGTTGCCTCACCCTTAAGCTGGCAGCAGTGCTAGTGACAGTGTCAGATCAATGTCTGTGTGAAAGGGACAGCTGGCAGGACGGGATCATGTTCAGGACTGTTGTGGTGTCATGATGATGTCGATGAACATCGACCAACAAATGGTGAAAACAATAAGATCCTTCCCCTCCGAACAGAGGACACACATCCTCACTGCGACCTCGTCAAATGTCCACGTTTGGTCATGGACTTTACACGTCCACATATGACGTCCAAGGTACCCTGGGTGTGTTGGTTGTTGACGTTCTGGGACGCCGTGTCAACTTCAGCCTGTTACATGCATTGTCTGTTTTCAAACTACACTTCTGTTTTCACAGGAAATGTACAGTTTGCATACAGTCTCTTTCAAAATAAAAGCACTATGTTGGTGCAACACTGCCAACTGATGTTTTTTTCCCTCAACAACAAACACATGTGGTTGGGTTTAGGGAAAAAGAACAGGGTTTGACTTTACAATCTGACAGGAAGTGAACACTGGCCTGTGAAAGTTAGTGTTTTTTGGATTTTTGGACATTTCCTGTAAATCCTGTTGTTTCCTGTTCAGGGCGTCACTCCTTCTGCTGCTGTCACCAAATCTCTAAAAGCTTCAGTTTGTTTTTCTTTGAAGGAAAATCCCCTTCATCCAGTTTAATGCCACAGAGCTAAGTCTTCTGAGTGATGAATCTTTATCAGTTCACTGAGTGACAGCGTACTGTACAGCACTGCGCTGTGATCTGCATGTTTAATTGATCACACGTGTTAATCATCCGTGCATAAACTAAAGCAGCTATTGTTCTGTTTGACATGTTCCAGATAAAACACACAGACAGTGAATTGGAAAATGGGATCGAACTGAGAACGCACCGATCCAACTTCTTGTCTCTGCTGATAGCGAGCACAGATCACACACACGCCACCTGTTTAACAAATCTAAAATCTGTGTGACTCAACATGGAGAACTCACTGGAGTCATTTTTAAGTGACCATGACTGAATGAATGAAACAGAAAGCGTAAATGCTGAATGTTTTTAATGTCAGTACATGTGTCTGTCACATCACAGCTGAGAACTGATCTCATCAATCAGGTCAGTTTTGGTGCTGCATCAAAGGTTTATCTGAGGAGGACTCGACACGTGTTGCATTTGTAGCAGCTTTAAACTCAACAAACACACTGATAACTGTGTTCAACAAAGGTTCATCAGTTTGTCACAAAGAAATCCAACATACCTGTCATTTAGTTGATGTTTATTATGTGTCTGTTGAATGATTCTAGGTTTCTGTGTGTCTCTCTCCAAAACACACACACACACACACACACACGTACGTCACTCTTACCTTTCAGCTCAGCCCTCCAGAGATCACTGAAAAAAGCAAAAGGAAAATGATCCCTAATTAGTTTAGTTTGTCATGGAAACCTC